TCACTGCAGGAACCCTGGTCCACTAATGATTGGGTTGAACCTCGCTCAGCAGCGAAAATATCGCGTTTTGTCCCAGTGAACCACACCCCTAAGCCTCAGGACGAGGGGAGACGTGTGTGTTAGGCATTTTCATTTTCCTCACAGTTCCTCCATCTCTCCTCGGAAAATCCTCATCCACTAACTCATATTAGTACCCTCGCCTTCAATCGAGAATTTAGCCACGTTAATGCCACGTCAATTTCTGCAATTGCACAATTCCTGGTCATCTTGAAGGCGAGGGTACACTCTGTTTCATGCAGCCAGAAACCCACGTGGCACACGTGGCTAAATTCTCGATTGAAGGCGAGGGTACTAATATGAGTTAGTGGATGAGGATTTTCCGAGGAGAGATGGAGGAACTGTGAGGAAAATGAAAATGCCTAACACACACGTCTCCCCTCGTCCTGAGGCTTAGGGGTGTGGTTCACTGGGACAAAACGCGATATTTTCGCTTTTCGCAGCAGGAAGCTTATTCACTGCAGGAACCCTGGTCCACTAATGATTGGGTTGAACCTCGCCCAGCAGCGAAAATGTCGCGTTCTGCCCTAGTAAACCATACCTAAAGCTTAGCTTTGAACGTTCATTATAAACAGCCACTCTTACTTTTGAACGCTTTGGGCGCTCAAATCGAAATGCCCTCTTGCTGGTCAAAACTCCGCAAAACGAAAATTTGGGTCTATCCCAATAGAAGGGGGAGAGGCAGTGCATGGCGATGCAGAGTTCCTAAATCACCTGCAAGCGCGAGAAACACTCTTCCATTAGCGTTCAGTTTTGGCATCAAGTCTAAGGAGGAGCGGGGAGAAACTGGCGAGCGACCAAGTTCCACTTTTGCCTGAGTTACTCCCTCCTCCTAGGCTTAGTTGTGGCTAATCACTACATCAATATCACTTCCTCGAATCGTTTATGGTAATCAGCAGAAAACCGTCCAAAATATAGTCAACTTAAAATGATCAAGCAGTAGTGAAGCAAGTAGGATCGTAACTGAAGGACTCCTTGAGTGAAAAATGGAATTAAAGCAATCCATGCATCGCAGGCCCCCTCCCTCTCCCTAGTTGGACTGAACCAAGAAATTCA